GAGTGCAGTGGCACGATCTTGGCTCACTGCAACCTCTGCCTCCTGGGTTCAAGTGATTATCCTGCCTCAGCCTCCCGAGTAGCTGGGATTACAACCACCCGCCACTATACCCAGCTAATTTTTTGTATTTTTAGTAGAGACGGCGTTTCACCATGTTGGCCAGACTGGTCTCGAACTCCTGACCTTGTGATTCACCCGCCTCAGCCTCCCAAAGTGCTGGGATTACAGGTGTGAGCCACAGCGCCCGGGCGCTCATCTCAGTTTTTTAAATGTGACCAGGTGCATGGTTCAAGACCAGCCTGGGCAACGTAGCAAGACCCCATCTCTACAAAAATAAATAACTGGGTGTGGTGGTACATGCCTGTGGTCCCAGCTATTCTCGAGGCTAAGGCGGAAGGATCACTTAGGCCCAGGAGTTGCAGGCTATGGTGAGTCATAATCATGCCGCTGCACTCTAGCTGGGACAAAAGCACGAGACTGGTCTCTAAAACATACAAATAAAATTAAATAAAAACGTTTCAAACCCATTCCAAGAAATAATCAGATCACAGAGATACTCCCTTCACCCCACTTTTAAGCTCCCCAGTGGCTTTCCAACACACTAGAAGTCAAACCTAAATTCCCTACAGGGCCCTGGGAGGCCTTCACATCCCAGCTCCGGGGCCTCTGCCACCTCTTCTGCAGCTTTCTCACTCACTCCTCACTCACTCACTCACTCGGTTCCTCCACACTCCAAGTTTATCCCCACCTTCTGGGTGCCCTTGCTCTTCCTTCAGCCTAGAATGTCTTTTCCCACAGCTGATTCTCATCAGTCAGGTCTCTGTTCAAATGCCCCCTTCATCCCAGAGAGGCCCTCCCTGACCACCCTGTCTAAAACGCAGCCCCACCAAGTGCCATGCCATTATTCTGTTTATTTCTACATAGCCCTGTCACCATCAGAAAAGACATTGCATTTTATCACTATTATTTACTTTAGAGACAGGGTCCTGCTCTGTTGCCCAGACTGGAGTGAAGTGACGTAATCATGGCCTGCAGGCAGGAACTCCTGCGCTCAAGCGATCCTCCCGTCACAGCCTCCCAAGTAGCTACAACTACAGGCACACGCCACCACACCTGGCTAATTTTTTTTTTTTTTTTGGAGACGGAGTCTCGCTCCATCGCCCAGGCTAGAGTGCAGTGGCACGATCTTGGCTCACCACAACCTCTGCCTCCCAGGTTCAAACTATTCTCCGGCCTCAGCCTCCCAAATGGCTTGGACTACAGGCGCCCGTCACCATGCCCGGCTAGTTTTTGTATTTTTAGTAGAGACGGGGTTTCACCATGTTGGCCAGGCTGGTCTCTAAATCTTGACCTTGTGATCCTCCCGCCTCAGCCTCCCAAAGGGCTGGGATTACAGGCGTGAGCCACCACCTCAGCCTACTGTTTACTTCTTGACTGCCTCTTGTACCCACCAAGAGAGCAGGGAACTTATCCATCCGTTCGCAACTCTGACCTTGGCCACCAAGTAGCCAAAAAGTGTTTTTCTAGAAAGAATAGATTGATTGAACAACTGCCTGTAAGATGTGAAATGCCACCTACTACCTGGCCGAGCATCCAGAGTACTAAGTCATCAGTCACCTGCAGGTGCTCAGGGAGCTCATGTGCATTTGCTGAGCTCGAAGTTCCAAGGCCTGCCCCAGGCCAGTCGAGAACCCCAAGGAAGCAGAAGGAATAGCCCCTCCCTTCAAAAGCCTGAAAGTCTATGAGGGATCATAAAGCACACCCAGTGTTTACCTGGCAACCCACAAACAAATGCGGAGGAGAGATCTCGGATTGCATCGCTGACACCCAGGCTGGAGGCAGTGTCCAAATGGGCCTCATAAAACTGCGTACTGGCAAACGCCCTCTGATACAGCTTCTTATGACTTTGCAATCCTACCTGTTCTCCAGGATGAAACGGTTGCAGCTCACACCTGCTCCTGCCTCCTCCCGTGGGGACTTTGTTTTCAAAGGCAGTTAAAAGTCTAAATGGGCAGGCGGTGACCGCCTCTTTCCCCTTCCCTACTTCAGCATCTCTGAGCCACACACACGGCAAGCGACTTACCCACTAGGAGTTTGACGTCTCGGACTGTGAAATCAGGGTCAGGCATCCTGGGGAAAGAGGAGCACAGACGTTTGGTGAGAGGCCAGAAACAACAAAGCTAGACTCTACCCTGGGCCCGGGGGGAAGCCATTTTTCCAAGAGAGGCCCTTTGCCCTCGGTTTGGGAACTCAAAACGAGACCATCCAGAGGGAGGGAAGTAGACCAGTTGATGCCTGCAGGGAGGGTCACCCCAGAACCACTGAGGCCCTTCCCTACCCTAAGAGGCAACTCAAACCTGAACCTCAGCAGAGGTTGGGACAACCACTGTCCACTCCATTTTTCCAGGGAAGCCGGAAGTGCGGGGTCAAAAGTAAAGGCCAGGGCTAGACATTCAAACGCCTGCTTTCTTTTAGGGTGGGTAGTCCTCTCTAGGTCTCTTTCTCCCTCTAGAAAATACTCTCCATAAGGAGTTGTATGCGAAGTGGGACGGACCCCTTTAAGTTCAGTGGGAAAAAAAGACACGCATTGTACCAGTTCCAGGGATGTGGTAATACGGGCTACAATTCACTATTAATTAACCATGATGCCCAAGGTTTAAATCCTACTCGTAGGAATGGACTCTTGAGCAAGTCTGGGAGCAGATGCTGGAGAGAGGCTGCCTGGAACGACACCCCAAGCCTCCTCCCCTACACCTGCCCAAGGGGCACAAACCTGTTCTTCCAGCCTGCCTCCCAGACCTCTCCCCCACCTGGAGCTCTGACAGATCTCAGTGAATGAAAACAGACATAGTGCAGGGGCAGGCTGCGGGGCAGGCAAAGAAAGGGGAGACACTGGCACCCCAGGAAACACACATAGTGGGAATCTGCATAAGAAACATGTATCTAGGTGCCCTGGGTCTGGGCTTAGAGCCTGGCTAGTCCCTTTGCAGCTCAGGCTCTACCTCAGTCTCCTGATCTGGAGCAAGGGGAAGGAGGAGAGGTACAGTTCTCTGCAGGAGGTCACTGAGTGTAACTGGGGTGGGTCAGGGGAAAAAGTCAACACTGCTTAATTACCCTATGTCCTCTCTCTGCCCAAAGTCCCTGCAAAAGACCAGTCTTTGGAGAGTGTTACCCCTTTGTTAGGCCTTGAACAAGGAGATGCTGTTCCCAGATCATGAAAAAAGATCCTTCTCAGTGATGAGAGGTGGGAAGAGGGTGGAAGAAATCCATCCCAAGCTATAAAGTATGTTAGGGAGGAAGACGGGGGAAGGAGCGATTAGTTGCAGCAACTTACTTAATTCCCAGTCCATCCTTTTCTCGAAATATCAGGGGAACCCTGAGAGCTTCTCTCTGTACGTACTCATAGTTGAAATCTGTTTGGATATTTGAATTAAAACAAGTTGGTTAAGTCACGAAGGAGCAAATGAACCGGGATCTGTTGGTTAGGGGAAGAAAACTGATGGACGAAGGGGCAGGGGGTCCAGGAGATGCAGGCACCAGCTGTACAGCAAAAGCTCCTTGGAAAATGATCGGGAAATGGATTAGGCAAAGCCCAAGAGAAGCCATGCCAGCGATCAGCTCCTCTGCCTACTCAGTCAGTCATTCTCGGCACGCCCCACCGGTCCAAACTTGTCAACCAACAGCCCAAAGCCAGCGAGGGTTGGGGAGGAAGACTCAAAAGAGCCCCGCACAAAAAGGGCCCCAGCCATTGCTGAGAAAGAGGGATAGACAGAGACACGCATCCCAAGCCGCGCTCAGAAAGTAAAGGGACTGCAAAATTGAAGAATGCCACCTGGGAGGATCTGAAGGCCCAGAGAGGAGGCTGGGAGGAGGGCCCTCATTGTGGCTGAGCATCAGTGAAAATCTTATTGTAATATCCTGCATAGTGAAGGGGAGGGGGGAAAAGCCGGTTTCCCTGGAAACTGTGTATTTGGTGCCAAAATAACTAGGGAACTGGGCACAGCTTTGTTGTCTTAAGAGTGAAATTCTGCTGTAGCCATCACAGTCCTTGCTTCAGCTGGATAACCGGGAGGGAGGCTCCCCAGGGGAAGGCTCTGTAAAGGGGGCATAGCAAGACCCAAGGAAAATTCACGGGCTCGCTCTCTCTCTGGGGTTTTTCTAGCACAGTCCCCAAATCCTTACCCAAAGTCCTGGAGGATGAAGGAGGCCTCTAATTTCTGTCCTTCCCCAATTCTGAAACCAGTGAATCTGACCCAACCATACACCCTTGAATATGAAGGTGATGGGGCTTGAGATAAATTCTCACATCCCCCAAATCCGCAGGTAACTAAAGTAATCCACAAGGTAAGAAGGCCTCTCCGACCGTCGGAAGGGAGACAGAAGAGGCCTCAGGCCACTGAAGCTGCTAGCCCAGGGAAACAGTTCACAGGGCAGCCTTGGGGGAGGAGGAGGCCAAGACAACTCCCCTCGGAAGAGAGACAGAGAACAAAACCCAAAGCCGGGGAAAGCCCTGACCTCAGCAGCTCAGATCCCCAGGGGCTCACAGTGAATGGGGATTCCTAAGGATTTAAAGGAAGAGAAGTTTAAGAAGCTTCTATTTTGAATCCAGGCTAAGGGCTCCTGTTTCTCAGCTCCTCCCTCAAGTTTTGGGGCCAGATCTGAATTAAAGAGCAAAGCCTTGGGCCCTCCCCTTTGAAAGATGCCGGGACAGCAGATCTAAGGATACGCGTTAGCTCTCCCTGCCTGGAATACCGGCCCTCAGACCCACCCACCCAAAGCACCCCATCCCCCAGGGTCAGCTTCAACTTCCTCAAATGAGCCTGAGAAAAAGCTCTGAAATCCTGGGCTGAGAATTCCTCCCAAATGACTAGGAAGTTTGCATATTGTTTGCACGTAGGATCCGCCAAACGACTCAACTCAGTAAAAATGGGGGAAGAAAGGAGAGGAATTAAAATTCCACTTATGCAGAGAAAATTTAAATCAGCTGGGACTAGCACCCTGCTCTAGGACCAGGAAGGCTGGGAGAAGTTTCTTCTTCCCTCCCCCAACAACTACCCGTCACCACCGGAGCCCAGTGCCCCAGGAGGCGATGGGCACAAAAGAGAAATCACAAAACTGCAAAGCTGGGAGTCTCTTCTCAGAGCTAACCCCACAGCCACAGCCACTCAACCAGAACCTGGAGGAGGGAAGCAGGCACTCCAGGTTATCAGCTCACTGAGGGATGGAAGCGTTTTCCAACAGGCGTGGGGGGAACAAAATAGAAACTTTGTAACTTAAAGGCAACTGAAATATCTGAAAAGGAAAAATGAGTGAAGGGCCTAGGAAAGCTAGGTAGGGCATGTTCAAAACCCCAATCCCGCAGGCAATGCGAGGTTCCTCAACCAGGAGCCACACTGGCTGCAGGCTGGGAAGGCCAGGGCTCTGGAGGCCTCAGAGGCAACCCAGGGCATCACCTTAACATCTGGAGGGTGACCCCCACCACCCTCGTAGTAGGAGAGCCAGGGAGAAACCCAGCCATGAAGGTCTTCAAAACCCTGGAGGCGTCCCCACATTTCGCTCTAAACTGGGTGGGCCTACAAGGAACAGAGCTCTCCAAGTCTCAGGCCTGGAAGAAGACCCATTTCCTCACTTCAAACTGCCAGGGGACAGGGATCTCCCCCAGAAGCCCGAAGGGAAGTCACCCCCTGACCCCAGCTCCTGGCTTCAACCTGTCAAGGCTGTAGCACTAGACAGCTCGGGCCCAGGTGGGGATTCAGGTCAACAGCTTCAGGGCGCATGAGGTCCCTGATTCAATCTGGCAGAGCCCACGGGGGAATGCGGCTCTGCAGACCCCAGGCCGAAGGGGGCATCATCCCGAACACCCGACGCGCCCCGATCACCAGTTCCTCACTGGCAGTCCCCGAGCGGGAACGGGATTGGGAAGGCTTCAGGCCTGGGGGGCCTCACCCCGATGCCCCAGGGGCGACCCGAACCCAGTTCCAGTCAGGCGGCGGCACCTCAGGCAGCGCAGGGAGCGCGACCGGCTCGGGGAGGGGGAGGACGCGGCGCTCCCGCCCTCCCTCGGTCCGCCTGTCCATCCCCAGGTCCCTCTGTCCGCCGGCCCCCTGGTTCTGCCCACCCTGGGGCTGGTGGTGGGCGCGGGCCGGGCCTAGGCCCATGCCCGGCCCCCCTTACTGCCTGCCCTCCTCCCTCGCCACCCCACCCCACCCCCCCAGTGCTCGGCCTCGTTTCGTCACCGGATCCCCTGGAATGGGGGACGCGGGCGCGAAATACGAACCCAGCCACCGGCAGCTCCCTCCCCACGTGCGCTCGGCCCGCAGCGCAGAAGGCGGCCCAGGGAGGGGGCGCCTCACCTTTGCCCTCCATGGCGTGCACGAAGTCCCCCTGGTACAACTGGCTGCGAAGCTTCTCCTCCAGGCTGAAGCCGCGGACGCTGACGATCTCCTCCACGTCCGACAAGTCCTCGTTCTCGTCGTATCGCTGGCGGTCAATCGGACGCTGCGAGGACCCAAACCAGAGAGCCCAGGACATTACTGGGGGGGCTGGAGGTCGCCTCTCAACCTGGGCCAGCACTAACAGGTGCAGCAGCCGCGCGCCCCCTGCACCCCACCATTGCAACCCAAGCAACTTTGCGCAATTGCCAAAGATGCTGAAAAGCAGGACAAGGAGAGGGGCCCGCACCCCGGGGGTCCAGCTGCGCTCCACACGGGGTACTCCCCCCGGTGTCTTTGGAAGCCATTGAAGGGACATCTGGGGGCCCTCCCCTGCCCCCCGCCCCCGAAATGTGTTGGGCTTTGCCCACTCGGCCGGGAGCCTGGTTATGTAACCCGCGAAGGGGGCTCCGGACACGGGCTGGCGGGGCAAATGTAGGCCCCAGGAGGAGCCGCGGCGGCGCCCGGCTCGGCGGTAACAGCAGCCCCGGCGGCCGCGGCGGCAGAGCCGGGAAGCCGGAACCGGGGGCCGGCAGCGTTTCTAAAGCTGGAGCCGCCCCCGAGCTACCGGGGAAGCTGGAAAGCTGAAATGGAAGGGCTGAGACCCCAGCCGCCCCCGCCGCCCGCCCGCCAGTGCAAGAAGAGGAGGTGGGGGGAGGAGGATCGGGGCTTGGGAGGGGGAGAGGCAGACGGCCCGCCACAAAGCTCCGATCGGAGACCCCAAAACGCACCAGCAGCTGCCTCATCTCCCCACAAGCGCGCGCGCACACTCACTTCCTAAGGAGACTCCCCCACCACTCCCCGCATCCCCCTGCCTCCTCCCTCCACCGCCCAGCGCCCGGCCCCGCAGCCCCCCAGATTCCGGGCGAACCCCGAGCCCGCTCAGCCCCCCTCCACGCCTTTCCCCGATACCACCTCCCCACTTAAGTGTCTGAGACTCTAAGCCTCACAAGGGGCTGGAGGAGTAAGCAGCTTGCTTCCTTTTGCATGCAATTTATTATATTTTTTTTTCCCGGTCCTCTTGCAAAATACAGAAAAGGAAAGAAAAGGCACGAGAAACAACCAAAAAAAAAAAAAGATCTATCATATGCCAGATACAGATTTGGAAAAAAAAAAAAAAAAAAAGCTACACACCAATCTTCTTCCAGAGTCTTTCTCTGCCTCCATTTTTTTAGGAGAGTTCACCAATTAATTGTCAACACTCCTGCCCCCTGCATTTTGGCCGAGGGGGGAAGGAGGGAAGACCAAAGAAAACAAACCAAAAAATAAATAAATAAAGCAAGCCAGAGCCGAGATCTACAAAGTTTTGCACCAACACTTAGGCAGATCCGTTTGCAAAGTCCTAGGAAACCATTTTCAGCAGTTGTGGGGGGGGAGGCGTCGACGTCATAATCCCCGGAACGTAAACATTGTTGCCGATCGCGCTCGGAGCCCGCGGCCGGGCTAGTGGGGGGGCTCTCGGCCCGGGCTTGAGGGGGTGGGGACGGCGGCCCGAGGAGGTGTGGGGCGGGGAGGGAGCCCGGGAGGCACCGGGCGCCGTTAGCGCCCTGGCATCGCTGTTTTGTTGTTGGGTCACGAGTGCGCCTCTGCACGCAGGCGCCGCCGCCGCCCGGGAGTTGTGTGCAGAGCTGACTTTTGGAGGGCCGAGTTGCAGGCGGCGGGCGCATCCCGGAGATGGCGGGGCAGGGAGGGAGGGAAGGAGGAGGGGGCGGGGAGGGAGGTGCAGATTTGCACGGCTGGCCTCAGCGGGAGGCGCGGAAATGCAAGCTGAGCATGCTGGCGTGAAAGCCCCCGGGGCCTGGCACCCCCAAAAACGACCCCCCACCTCCGTTCCTGCCCCTGTTGCCCAGGGCTACCCCTCTTCCTCTTCTTTCATCCATCCCTCCCCCAACATTACCTGTGTGGCCGACTCAAATTCATAGCATTTTGTATATATAATTGTTTCCTTTTTTTGCTTTTCTGCTGCATGTCTTTTTCGTGAGGGGTGATCCTCTGCAGATCCCCCCATTTGCGGACCTGCCATATGGAGGAGGCATTTGTGGGGCTCAGAAGGAAATTAGCTCGGCTCCATACCTATAAGGACTGCCTAACTTTTAAACTCCCGGCACTCAAAGATGTGGACACACACACGTACAGGAAATACAGCCAGACCAGAGCCTTTGCAGACCGCAGCTGACCGGAAGACGTTGCCTTTCATTCATTCATTCTGCACGCTTCTGTGGAGTCCTTTACTAGGCGACCAGCCCTGAGACAGAAGTTGGACATTTTTTAAAGGTTCTTGCGCTCAGCAAGGGGAGCAGATAGATACTCAGGAGCGAAAGACGAAGAGAATTGGATCTGGCGCCTCCTAACGCAGCCCGCACAGGAGCGAAGGGTAAGCCCTTGTTGGCCATTTATAGGAGAAAAGTCGGTGGAAAGGTGCATGGTGCTCTGGGATGGGCGGGGGGAACTCTGGTGCCCCTTGATTAATCCTATAGGGCTTTTTAGCGGAGGTATCGGCACCCTCCATACATGGGTGTCATTAGGTCCCTGTCCACTTACTAATGTTTTTGACTACCCCGGCACTGGTCCTGGGTTGCCTTGTCCTCACTTCATGAGCAACAGTCAGGTGGACTGGGCTTGAGAAAAGCTGGCCCTAAACATTCCTCCAGCCCCAGCTGCGGCGCCCTGCTAGGCCTGATCTTGGGGGTAAAGATGGTGATAAAATGACATGGCAAGAGGGCGACAATAAAGGGACATCCTAGATCGTAGGCTTTGAGCCTGACATTTTATTTCTGCCATTAACCCTGTGGGATAGTTAGAGCAGGTCATTTTGCACATGGGAAAACTGAAGCTTAGAGAAATTATGAATCTGAATGATTGCCGTGCTCCCGTATGGTCCCCAGGCTATCAGACAGACCTGTGGGGAGGACGTGGCTTCCCCACCGGGAGATTGGATGTCACTGTCAGCATCGTATTGGCCATCCTAAGAGACAGCTTCCCCCTCACTCACCTTAAAAGTTTCCTGTCCTATCTGTCTGTAGTCTTTCCCACCCACCCCCAAAGGCTACTCTTTGAAGTTTGTTTTCATTCATGTTCACTAGCTGTAAAAATCTTCTAAGCAGGGATGAGGCTGGGAAACATCAAAATTTGTTTCCCAACTGAAATCGCCCACATTGGCTACTGCGTCCAATCAGTAGCCCTTAGCGTGAGTGCTGCAGGTTCTGCCTTCAGTCCGTCCAGAACCATGGACCATTTTATTTGTTCCTGTCTGTCTCACAAGAACCCTTTAAGGGAAATCGTCTTGTTCGTTCCTCTCTTGCAAAGGAGGAAATTAGGACTAAGAAAAGCAAAGCCACTCACCCAGGATCACAAAGCGTGTATGTGCCGCTGCCAGGGCTCACACTGGAGCCTGGCTTGGCCGTCACGTGCT